ATGTATGTATGTATGTATATATATACATATATAGCAGGATATACTTTACAGTTAAAAAAGATCTACAAGTAGGAAATCTTCTTATGCTGTTTGTATTTACAGAAATTAAATGAATTAGAAAGAGCCAAGATTAGCCCCCTCTAATCTCACTACACTCTAAATCATGTTGACTTATCCTTTACCAAAGATTGTACTGTTTTTCTAAAAATAAAGATGCTGTAAATATAAAACCTAAAACTATAAAACTAGAAACTACAAAACTAAAACAACAAAATGCTTAGAAGAAAATACAGGCATTAAGCGGGCATGGTGGCACATGCCTGTAATTAAGCATTTGTAAGGTTGAAGCAGAAGGATCACTGTGAATTCAAAGCTAGTCTGAACTGCATAGCGAGACCCTGTCTGAAAAAAAAAGTCTGAAATAGGCAAACCCACTGATAAGATACAGAAGACATATGACTGGAACTAATAAGTTATTCCAGGATATCCTCAAATTTATACCCAAATATACTTCGCTCTTGCATTCACTGTTTGCCTTTCTCATATTTTGTTTTTCCTTACAAGTAAAATCACTTCCCATTTCCTTTCTGCCCTTCACATGGACAACTTTCATAGTCTATTTTCTTAATACTAAGGTGTACACAAAGATTTACTGGAGGCATTAGGATTAAGGGTGTCATCCACCCTAAGGACAAACAGCAAGGTAAACTATAGAGACAGAAAGAAGCTTCTCACTTGTTGTTTGCTAGACTGGTGCCTGCCATGAACTGTTTCTCCTCTGTGGTGCTTCTTTGTTATGCCATCCTTACCTTGGAGTTAGCAAAATATGAACTGAAACCTCTACAGACTAAGAGCCAAATAAATCCTTTTTCTTTTAACTTTGGGTATTGGGTATTTTGTCTCAGCAACGAGAAAAGTAACTTATGATAGTGATGCATACATTATTCCACAGAAAATATATGGAAATCTCTTCACATAAAGATGGCAAAAATTTAAGACTCAGGAAACCAAAATTCCTAATTTTCCCTTTATGTACAACTATAAAGAATTGGGGCGGAGGGTAAGAAGGAAGGGGAAAAGGAAGATAGCTAAGAATATTTTCTTTCTTGTTCCCAACTTTAAAAAATTTGCTTGACCTAAACAATGGGGCATGAGGGGAATGTCTGGCCCTTTTTCACTTAGCAGACTCACACTAGACATACTAGGTGAACAATCATGTAATAAGCAACCTTAAGGAAATATGTTACATTTGGGCACTTTTATACACTGTCGGTGGTAGTATAAATTGCTGCAATCATTTTGGAAAGCAATTTAGCAACATGCAGTGAAACCTTTAAAAATATCTATAACCTCTGACTCTAAAGATCTATTTCTGGGAATCTGTTCCAAAGAACTCACCTGAAGCATGCAAAGAGATCTCCCAAATACTACTTACAATAATGAATAAAGGGAAACCACCTAAAATGTCACAGGATACAGAAATTAATAAATGATAGCATTTATTTTTCTGTTTTTGTTTTCTCACTGTATAATTCAGCCTGGCCTCAAACTCATTATGTAGTTCAGACTGGTCTTGAACTTGTGGTGATTCTTCTACTTCAGTTTCCCGAGTGCTGGAGTTACAGGCATGTGGCACCACACCTGGCTACAGTATTTCTTCAGGACCCAGATTTTATGCAGATATTTTAAAACACTTATCAGGAGTAGCTTTAAACTTTTTTTCTTTTTCTGTTTTATTTAATATTTAAGTAATATATACCCATGGTGAAAGAAACTTCAAAAAATAAAAATCCTATTATTCTCTTATGCTTTTTTTCTTTTTCTTTTTCTTTTTTTTGTCTTTTTCCTTTTTATTGGTACCAGGGATCGAACTCACGACTGCCTGCTTGCAAGTCAGGCGCTTATGCCGCTGAGCTAAATCCCCAGCCCCTCTTATGCTTTATTTCCAACTCCTAAAGATAGCAGAGAGAGAAAGACAAAGATAGAGACAGAGAGAAAAAGGATGTATGTAAGCTTGTAAAAATGTTCTGGGCATATATAAATTTAAATAACAAACATTTACAAGTAATATACAGGTTAACAACAACATACAGGTAATCTTTTGTTTTGTTTTTAATACAAGTAGAATAATAGTATGTTGTTCTTCAACTTGCCTTTCATATTTTAGATATAGTTCCACGGCAGTACATATAGATCTTTATTACTCTTTATTCTTGTCATTATTATCATTATTATTATTATTATGTAGTACTGGGAATTGAACCAGTGTCCTATGCACCAAACTCCTCTCTCTCTCTCTCTCTCTCTCTCTCTCTCTCTCTCTCTCTCTCTCTCTCTCATTCTTTCAAGATAGAATCTCACTAAGTCACTGAATTTCCCAGACTAGGCTTGAAATTGTGATCCTCCTTCCTAAGCCTTCTACTGCACTGGGAGTACAGGCATGCACAACATGACCAGTTTACCTAATTCATTTAAATACAAGTTTCAATATATACCAGACCTTTGATACATATTTATGTTGTTTAGATTTTTCTGCCACAAAATGCAATGATTAACACATCCAAATGTACAATTTTATGTAATAGTATGAAATGATACATTAGTTCATATAAGTGTGAGGTATGTATGTATGTATGTATATATATATATATATATATATATATATATTTGTACTGGGAATTGAACTTAGGACCTCGCACTTGGCAAGTGGGTGCTGAGCCATATCCCTAGTCCTTAACATTTATTTATTTATTCATTCATTTATTGAGACAGAGTCTTGCTTTGTAGTTCATACTGAACTTGAACTCACTATATAGCCAGGCTGGCCTCGAACTTGCGATGATCCTTCTGTTTTAGCGTCCAAAGTGTTGGAATTATAGGTATGTGCCACCATATCTGGCCTTAACATTTTAGATATTAAAAGTTATAGCTGAGGGGCTGGGGATTTAGCTTAGCGGCATAAGCCCCTGCCTTGCAAGCAGGCAGTCGTGAGTTCGATTCCTGGTACCGATAAAAAGGAAAAAGACAAAAAAAAAAAAAAAAAGTTATAGCTGAACCACAGATCAAAAATACTGATTAATACCCTTTCTTCTCTTCCCTGGATCAGACTATATACTAATATCAACTTTTAAATCTCTGCCAATCAGGAAGATAGGTTTTAACTTATATATCTAACTATGATCAAGGTTAAGTCCCTTTTCTATTACATGGTTCAGCTTTTTTTTATACGCTAATAAGAGTCCGGGTACAGTCAGAAAATTAGTTCTTGTTACTGTATATGTTTTTTGTGGTACTAGAGATTGAACCCAGGGACCTCTGCATTGAGCAACATCCCTGAGCACTGGGATTATAGGCATGTGCCACATATCTGGCTTGTTTTGGTAAGGGTGTTGTTGTGTCTGAGTCAGAGTCTTTTAATGTGGTCCGGGCTGGTCTTGAATTCATTAAGTTGCCCAGGCTGGCCTTAAACTCTCAATTCTCTTGCCTACCCCTCCCAAGTGCTGGGTTCACATGTGTGCACCACTGCACCTCGTGCATTTACAGTATGTTTTTACTCTCTAGCAAATTGCTCTATTTTTCCCCTCCTGTATATTATATACGTTTCACAGTTCCTTCCCAACCTTAAATATATAACTGCTAGATAGGGTTTCTCTTTTATAATTTTATTTTTATTTAGAGTTTTAAACAACTGTAAACTAAACTGTAATTATTAATTATTTACATAGTTGGAACTCAATTAGAAAAAACAAAAATATTGGAAGGAAATAAAACACTGACAATGATTATTGGTGAATAACAGGATTATTTATATGCTCCTCCTTCTATGTATTTTCCAAATTTTTTTACAATAAACACGTATTACTTTTACAAAATATAATTCCTCTTTCTTTTTCTCTGTCTTTCTCTTTTTGTACTAGGGATTGAACCCAGGATGGTCACACCAAGCCTTTATCAGTATACTGCCTCAGAGGCTCTCGCATGTATGTAAGAGATAAAAGTATTTTCACCAGCACTTGGGAGGCTGAGATAGGAGGATCACTGCAAGTGTAAGGTTAGCCAGGGGTGCATAGTAAGACTCATGTCTCAACAAACAAAACAAAAAATTGATTTCTTTTTAAAAATTTTTCTAAATAAAAGATTAAAAAACACATACTTCAACATAAGAATATAGGCACAAATATAAATGAAAAGTACATAAAAATTTTTTACAAATTAAGCTTGTCCTTCGTTTCTACTTGCAAGCTTTTCTGAGCGTAAATGGTCAATCTGGACTAGAAGCACCTCTAAGAAAAAGCTTTTATTTTGGCAGCAATTTTAAAGAAATAATGCAGTTCAACTATAGATGAATAGTCATGGATTGCCAATGACAAGAGCCATAAGCCTGAAATCCAAATGCTATTTACCATTTAATTTCGATGCTACGATTCTTATCTAAGGATTTATTGTATAAAATTAGCCTTAATTTTCTCACCTTAAAATAAGAATTAAAATAACTGCTCATTGCTGTAATGAAAAATCATGATATTCTTTTTAGAGACTGCTAGGGCATTTATAAATCAATAAACGAAATGAGTACCTCGTGAAAGAAGACCACTTAGGTTAGTTCATGAATGTACTATCTCTTGAAAAAAACAAATGTAAGTAACAAGTGACTAGTATCCCTTGTTATTATACCCTACTATGTTGGTAATTTTCATGGGGTTGATACCCACAGGAAAATGACAGAGCAACACTAAAGAGAGCAGTGAGCCAGAAGGAAATGGGATAAAGGTTACACAAAATGGCCCTTGGTCACGTAGTTTTTCTTTTAACTCTTCACTCTCTTAATTTTTACTCCCAGCCTACTTACTTGGGGAGATGAATATAGTGGCTTTCACTGTGGCACATTTAGGAGTCCAGTTCAGGAAAGAAAAATGGAGAGCAAAGATGCTCACAGATCACTAATGGGCAGAATAAACACTTACAGAGATGGAGAATAGCAAAATTGAACTTGTACTTACAAACTCAGATTCTCGGGCTTTCGGATGCATTTTAGCAACATTGAGCCCATCAATAACAATATCGAAAGGAGGACAGGATTTTATAAAGTTCTCAAATGTCTTCAGCTCCTAGAAAAGAAGTCAAACAAAACATTAACAAGAACCTAGTGTGGACTTTATTGTAAACATGCTGTGGCAATATTTACTATTATTTTTGATAATTCAAAATATTCCTCCCCTAAAAGCATGCAGACCCATCCACACACAAAAATTACCAAAATGAAATCTGAACCTTTATGGTACCAGTTCTATGGAGGCTGAAGCAAGAATATCACAAGTTTGAGGCCAGCTTGTGTAACTTAGCAAGACCTTGTCTTAAAAAAGACTGGGGATGTAACCCAGTGGTAGAGTATTTGATTAGCATGCACAAGGCTCTGGGTTCGACGCCTTGTACCAAAGAAATTCCAAGAACCTAAAAAAGCCAGACCAGTGGACACAGCTACATAGAATTACCCAATACACCTTTTCCTTCATCAAATCTATTTTATTCAAACATATAAAGAAAGAAAAAAGAAGAAAAACTACAATAAAATTTCAAAGCATACCACCCAGGGCCGATACACTTTTTATCTCAGGGTGCTTTACACTTCAGAGTACCTGCGACTTCATTTGATCTACACAGCCCACTATTTAGACTCACATAGAGAGTTATGAAATTGACCTGCATAATGGTCAGAAAGAGAATGAAACATCCAAAGTTCTAGTGTTCTGTAAGCCAAGAAGAGACCCGCAGTTGCAGCAGTTACTAGAACAACTGTGAAGGAAGAACAAGGCTGACAACCAATGCTGTGGCTTTTCTTAAGGCATCAGCTGCCTTTCGTGTACTTACGGCTTTTTCAAAGAGTAGAAGATCCATCCAGTCATTCACTTACATATTTACTTAGTTTCCACTTTATGCTGTACACTTTATCAAAAAGATAAAAATCCCTAACTTGAGGGAGCTTTATAGGAAGGCACACAAAATAACACAAATGAGTAATTATATTAAATATCAAATATGGTAAGCATTAGGGAGAAAAACAAAGGAAGGGTGTTCCACTTCTGGTAAGAAATACTAGAATGCTAGATGATAATGTAAATCCTGGATTAAAACTGACTATACGGCTGGGATTTAGCTCAGTGGGACAGTGCCTATGTGAAGAAGCCCTGGGTTCCATCTGTAGCGCACACACACACACACACACACACACACACACAAAAACCAAAACCAAAACCAAAACTAAAATAAAAAACTTACTGTATGTCTGAATGTACTGAAGAATGACCACAACTATCTGCCTGTTTTCCCAGTACTTGGAAGGCTGAAGCAGAAGGAATTGTGAGTTCAAAGCTAGGCTGGGCTACATAGTGAGAGTAAGTCAAAAACAGCAAACACTAAAAACTAAATAAAAGTTGAAGTATGAAAAAAACGATTTTTGTTACTAGAGATCAAAAGAGACAAACCAAGCATGACAATTAAACACAATGTGTGTTTCTGAACTGTATCCAAGGGAAGCAAATCTTATAAAGTCTTTTATTGAGACATGTAATAAAAACTGAGAATCAACTGCAGATTAAATAATATTACTATATCAATATCACAGAGATGAACTCCCTTTCAGTCATTAGGGAAAGTTTCCCAGCCAGTTATTATCCACCTCCGATGACTGAAATTCAAAGGACTGACAAAGGGTAAGTATATTGGTTAAATTGCCAAACACAGGATTGCAAAATGGTATAACAGCTTTGAAGAATAATTGTCATTTATTTATAAAGTTAGGCATACACTATGTAACTGAGTGATATCACTTCTATGTATGTACAGAAGAGAAATGAAGACACACACTCACACAGGGACTTAGACATGAATGTTAATAGTGGCTTTATTCCCAATTGCCAAAGCTGAAAAATTCAAAGTTATGAATGAAAAAAAAAGTGACAATAAAACATTATTCCAGTACAAAAATTTGTATACAAATTTATGATATAGGTGAATCTTAAGTATATTATGTTAAATTAGAAAAAGGCAGACATAAAAGGCCACTAATACAGTGTACGATTTCAATTTATATGAAATTCTAAAAGTGCCAAAACTGTATAAACCAACAGAAAGCAGATTAATGGTTCCCCTGTGGGAAAAGAAACTGAGCGTAGTAAGTACACACAATCTCAATGATTACAATCTTGATTGTTGTACAATTGTACACATTTGTCTGAACTTCCTGAATTATTTACTTTTTTTTTTTTGTGCTGAGAATGATATCTCGTGCCTTGCACATGCTGGGCAAGTGCTCTGTCTCAGAGCTACACCTCTGGACTCTGGATTATCTATTAACTTTATTATACATAAATTGCACCTTAATAAAGCTGATCTAAAAACAAAAGTCTTAGAACTAGTACACAAATATATTTCACCTTTAAAATAACCATTGATTCCTACATGTGCTTTCATTTCTCACTTGACCTCAGTAGCTTTTCTACCTCTGCCAACTCCATTTCCTTCTAACTCTTTACCTTCCACTCATCAAAATACGTTACTTTAAATCTCTCTGGTTGCCGGGTGTGGTGCTGTATGCCTGTAATCCTAGCAGTCAGGAGGCTGGGGCAGAGGGATTGATTTGAGTTCAAGGCCAGCCTGGGTTACCTAGGGAATTCAAGGCCAGCCTGAACTATATAGTGAGACTCTGTCTCAAAAAACCAAAATAAAGGGGCTGGGGATTTAGTTCAGCGGCATAAGCGCCTGCCTTGCAAGCAGGCAGTCATGAGTTCGATCCCTGGTACCGATAAAAACAAAAAAGACAAAAATAAAATAAAATAGGGTTGGGGGTTCAGCTCAGTGGCACAAATGCCTGCTTGGCAAGCACAAAGGCATGAGTTCTATCCCCAGTACTGAAAAAAATAAAATAAAACAAAATAGAATAAAATAAAATCTCTCTGCTCAAAACATATTTCCTACAAAATGTCAGTATTCAAATTACTATCAAAATTAAACAGTGGTTGGAAAAGGGACACTTTTACTATAAATGAAAAGTATCAAAGAAAATTAAAATAGTTTATACATAATATAATTTTTGTTTCAGACTATATAGCCAGGTAAATTATGGAAACAGAACAAATTATTACATTTCTAACAGTAAAGTTTCATTAATATATTCACCCCAGGAGTAATGACAAAATAAGGTAATTCATGGTTCCTGCCAACAGCCATCTGAAAAAAATTCAAGGTAAAACTAGGCAACTTATAAAATCTCCCTCTAGTTCTGATATTGAAGATATTAATACTTGGAAATTCCTTAAAGTCACAACATGGAAAAGAGTATACTTGGGATGGTTTATTTAAAAGGCGAGTCTCAGGAGCCTCTGTACAATCAATAGGACAAGAAATGAAATCCCCCTCTAAAGATATCCTCCTGATCCATGCCTTTTACTTAGAAAAACAAAAAAAAATCCAGAATGGCATGCTGCACATTTCTTCCCATTGCTAAAGCTCCACTTACCAAGTGTACCAGCCAGGGACTCTCTGTAATACTTCCAATGGGCCCTCAAGATGCATACTTTTCAAACTAAATCTGTTTATTTTATTGAACTCAAAAGCCACTGAATAGGCATGCAGATAATGTACAGCAAAAAAAAAAAAAAAAAAAGCTAACTTACTAAGATAACATAATACTACAATCTGCAAGCTTAGCTGTTTTAATGGAAACTAAATTCACATCAAGAATAACTTTCTAAAGCTACTGCTGGTGAAAGGGTTTTGGCCCAGACAGGACTCTGTAGTCAGGAAAGACTCAACCAGAAGCAGGAAGCCCTATCTCCCCTGCCCCTAGGAAGTTACCTGTGACGCCATCTTCCCGCCCCTGGAAATTTACAAATGGCGCCAAACCTAGGACCAATGGGCTACCTGTGCATCCCTAATGCCCGCCTTAGGTTCCACCCCAAACCGAGGCTATTTACAGGCCCCCACGCCACGTGTCCGCCGGATGCCAGTGGTGGGGGTGCCGGTCATCTCTCTCCGTGTTCTCAGAATAAAGGCCACTTTTTATTTTATATTTCTCATCTTTTGGAAATATTTTTCGTCTTTTGGAAATAATCCTAGCAGCTGGGATTGTACTTGACTTCGTATTAGCCAATGATCTGGAGGATGAAAATTTACCCATCTTTGAATTATGTTTTCTGATCATTAGCTTTAAAAATACTTTTGAGTGCTCGCTTCAGCAGCACATATACTAAAATTGGAATGATGCAGAGAAGATTAGCATGGCCCCTGCGCAAGGATGACATGCAAATTCGTGAAGTGTTAGATATTTTTGTATGTTTAAGTGTACAGGATTGACAACCATGTTACTAAGTTTTTGTTGGACAATTGAACAGAACTGTTTTCAGTCTCACTGTTTGAATTCCCACTTTACATGCTCCATTTTTGTATTTTGAACAACTATTTATAAAACAACAATATGTAAACATCAACTAGTGATTTCTTACTGTTCATTTTTTCCTCTGAATGTATGTATTATTTCTACCTACTTTCTGTTTTGTTTAGTCATTCTTTAAATTAAAAAAAATACTTTTAGGGGGCTGGGGATTCAGCTCAGTGGCATAAGCACCTGCCTTGCAAGCAGGCGGTCGTGAGTTCAATCCCTGGTACCGATAAAAATGAAAAAAGACCAAAAAAAAAATACTTTTGAGACATAATTAATACACCATGAAATTCAACCTCTTGAAAGTATAATTCACAGAGGTGCAACATTAGTATGATCCAATTTTGAAACATTTTGTCCCTTCTAGAAGAAATCCCGTACTTATTGGCAGTTATACCTACAGACTCCACACTAAAAAGCAACCAGTAATCTACTCTCTGTCCCTATAGGTTTGCCTATTCTGAGTCCTTATTATAAACTCAATCATATAAAAGCTTCATTTTTTTGATTGGTTTCTTTCAATCAGGATATTTTCAAGGTTTATCCATGTTGTAGCATGAATCAATACTTCATTTTTTTCACTGCCAAATATTCTATCACTGGATACACTAAATCTTACCTATGCATCAGTTAGTGGACGTTTGAGATGTTTCCACTTTTTGCCTATTATAA